TATAATGTTCAAACTATGCGCATAATATAAAGTCATATTTATCATACCAAATTAGCAAAGACATTGCAGCATATCCTATAATCTTTGAAAAACATCAGTCACAATCACAATCATCAGCATATACAAAAAGCATAATATTATAACGCCTGTTATATAAAGTGCATATCGAAACTTCTTTTGAACAATGGACTTGAAATTTCTAAAATCCGTGCAAGACTTCTGACACAACATGCTTCGAAATTGGTTCAGATGTTTAAAATGATGATCAAGAAGGAGAAAATCAACTATGCTGAATAAACGCAATATTATCTCAAATTTTAATCCGAATATTCAGTGCAAAACCCAAAACAATGTATTTTGTCATTCTATTTAAAATAGAATCAAACCACAGGACCTGCCTTTTACTGCAGAATAATTTAGCTAAGTACATTTAGCCAAATTTATTCTCATATAAAAAAGTAACTAAAAATATAAATTTCATATTGAAAATAAAATTTATAATTTTTTTTGTAGCAAGAACATGATAAGCCATGATAAAAATATCAAGGTAGTGTCATTCTCTCTTTTTGTCGCCATATTAACCATCTGACGTTTGCTGGTATTTTAATAAATCGAGCTACCACATTTACTTTGATTATTGTTTAATCAAAATAAAAAATGAAATTCAATTTAAACTAAAAATCAACATGTACAAATGTAATAAAAAAATCAATAAAAATTTAAATAAATGTACAAAAAATTCAATCAAAACTATAAACTTCCTGTTAAGTCCTATATCAAATTGAATGTCTGTTGCTGTCCGTATCAAGCAATTGCAATTAGAGCTCCATCCAGTCCAAGGATACACGGTTTTCTTCAAGTGAAAAATTTTACATTCACGAAATCTTTAAGTACTTTACTTCCAGTTTATTGTCTAATATGGACACCATTATTACATGTTAATATTCGAGGGAATGAGTGACATCATTAAGCAGTCCTGGAATAGTAGATTGTATTGCAAAATGTAAAAGGCCTTAGGGTCAGAACTTGATGTGAAGGCTACCAAGATACTTATAGGACTGGGAAACGCATTCCAAGGATTCTGATAGGCATGCTAACGGGTAGGAATTAGACTCATCGAGCATATAATTTGCCACTATCCTAGGACACAGGATATTAGGTTGAAATGGCTGGGAAATAGGTTCCATAACAAACATGAAATCTTCCATAACAAACGGTAAATCTTCTGGGTTGAAACGCCATGAGAATGGACCAGTTTCAATTCATCATTCCTTTTTATATATTTTACATCATTCTTGTTTTCTTTTACTGTTCTTGTTTCTCTGTCTTTGGATCTTCAGTGTCTTTGAAGGGAATTACAATGAACCTTATTGTCTCCGAGTGGATGTTGTCCTTTTTATGGCACAGAAACCTTCTTAACCTAAACCTAAGGACATAATTATACATTGCTTCAAACCCCTTTTAAATGATAATCTACATTATACAATTTAAATAACAAACTAAAACAATACCTTTTTTTAATCGGGACAGCTCGACAACAGTTACCACTGGACCTAAATTATTTTGAAAATTATTAACATAAATTCCACAATCACAACACAAATTTCTTAGAAACTATTTTTCCCTTTTTCATATGTGGCAACGATGTTCTATTTATTTACAAAATACGAATTTCAAAAAATACCAGCAAACTTCAAAAAGTTTTTTTTGAGAGAGAGGAATGACACTACCTTCATATTTATACCCTACACCACTTTAGTGGGGAAGGTATATTGGGTTTGTGCTGATGTTTGTAACGCACAAAAATATTGGTCCTATATCCACCTTAAAGTATACCAATTGGCTTAGAATCTTTTTCTGAGTCGATTTAGCTTGTCCGTCCATGTAAACCTTGTAATCAAACTACAGGTCGCAATTTTGAAGATAATTCAATGAAATTTGGTACATGATTTTCTATTGTCCCAGGGACGAAGCCTATTGAAAATGGTTAAGATCGGTCCATTATTTCACCTAGCCCCCATACAACTGAACCCCTGATTAGGGCTTGTAAACGTTGTAATCAAACTACAGGTCGCAATTTTGATGATAATTCAATGAAATTTGGCATATGATCTTCTATGGCACCGGAGACAAAGCCTATTGAAAATGGTGATCATCGGTCCATTATTTCACCTAGCCCCCATACAACGGAACCCCTGAATAGGGCTTGTAAACCTTGTAATCAAACTACAGGTCGCAATGTTGAAGATAATTCAATGAAATTTGGCACATGATCTTCTATGGTACCGGAGACAAAGCCTATTGAAAATGGTTAACATCGGTCCATTATTTCACCTTGCCCCCAACCCGACGAATAGGGCTTTTAAATTCATAATAATGTTTAATATATTCGTATCTCAACAAAAAGCTGCAAAACCAAGTGCTATACTAGCCTTGATGACTCTCATGAATTTTATAATTATAGGGTTTCATTTGACCATAGCACCTATACAAAGCCTCCTTCAAAATTTGACTTAAATGTCCACAATTTCATTCAAGAATAAATGGCTTAAGTATATCTGAGACAAGGTACAATTCAACTTAAATACTTTATTATGAAAACAAAATCACATTTAATTTTTGTAACAGGTGTAGGGTATTATATAGTCGGCCTCGCCCGACTTTAATTTCTTACTTGTTTTATCATGTGATAAGCCACTTTGAAAATGTACTAGAACTTGTTTTTTGAAAATAAAAAATGTTCAAATATTGTTAGGCAATAACTTGATAAGCCAAAATTTTTTGCTAAAACAGTGGTTTTCACTTTATTTATGATATCCATCTATTGGCATACGATAGTTATTGACCTTATATGATTATTAGACGTGTTTAAAGTACAAATAAAAAAAAAAACATTTTTTTGAGATTTTTTTTAAACTTTAATGTCGATTTACTCAAAATTTTATTTTTGTGGCATATCGAGTTACTGCAATAAGCCCTTCAATTACAAATATTTTTTTAATATTCGTGTGTTATTAATTTATATATGTCTTTCAAAAAATGTAAAATTTACCAAATTTCGATTTCTTTGGTTTTTTTACATATTCAAAAATCAAACATATATTGTGAATATATGTTGGATATTTTTTACTGGGGAAAAAATATCCAGTAAAATCAAAAAATTCTCTATCAACGAACTGTCATTTTTATCGCTCTCTTGCTCTCTCGTTGCAAGTTTTCAAAAGTACGCGAACGGAATCCAATAACAATTGTTGCAAATTGTTACAAATTACCGAGTACGCGAACAGACCTAATATTTATTACGACATCAGCTGTTCAAGTGTTGAGACATGTTGTCATTGATGATAGAAGAGGGAAATCATAACTTATAACAATCAGTGTTGGCTAACATGATTTGACAAAGATAACATAAAAATTATTGCAGTGTACTAAAAAATTTGTATTTAGCTGGACAAATTAAATTTTAGCTTGAAACTGGACAAGCATCAAAAAAGCTGGACAATCCAGCCAAGTCCAGCCAGGCTGGCAACCCTAGTGTTAACACATTGGTGAGATGCCAACCTCATCAACATCACGCCCATGCTAAACTCGCAGCCCACGCTCTCTATTGGATGTTTGCCCTTTGAAGCAATTGCGTGGTCCACTATCTTATTGTTCACCAGATCCTCTACCTTACTCTGTTGGTCTATTGGAATTTTGCCTGTCGGATTACCGGCATCATAAACTGCATAGCAGAGATCGTCCCGGTTTCTTCTTCTTTCAACTTTGTCGTAAGATGGCGGCTCTTTTCCTTTTCCACTGTCTAGCCTCTCTTTCCTAGCTTTTCGGGGCTTCTGAGATACCCTTCGAGTTTGATTTCGCCGACGTGGTCGTCTTCGGAATATCTATCTTGGCGTTGTCACCCTTACTCGCAGGATTCTTACTTGAGGTTCCTTTGAGTGAAGTATGGCTTGGCTTCGACTGTGTATTAGAAGACGGGAAGCTCTTTTTCTTCTTAGGTTTATTCTCAGTTGTCAACTCTTCGGGAGACCTGATCCTCTTTGCCTCAGATCTTGTGAGAGAGTCCGATTTTTCCTTTGGAGTGTCGTTGGATTGACTAACTATAATTTCCTGAAGCATCTTTTTCAACTTCCTCCTCTGTGCTCCAGATAGTATTTTCTTAGTAATAGGTAGTTTTGCTATGCTATCACTCACCTGTTTCACCATTTGCTCTACTTCATCCTTTTTGGGGTTTGCTATAATGGTGTTGTTATTATCATCTGAGGATTTAGAGTCGGAACCCTCACCTATATTTAAAGGCTGAGGTAGCTTAGAGCTCTCACCGAGTACATCCTTCTCTTTCACCCCTATGTTTTTGCCAATGGCATGCTGTACACTTGACGCCACGGAAGCCAAGGTACCTCCGTAGTAGTATTTTGCTCACGATTGCATGATGACGACGACACGTGACTCGCGAGTGGATCAACACTTGCCGCCGGTACTGGGTTATTTAGGCCCTGCACCGCAACTTTCATATTTTTATTTTCCATGTTGTTATTTCCAGTTTTTTGGTCCGCGGGGAATATAATATTCCCAGGCGGTGGACAATCTGCCCTCCCTCAGCTTGAGTCAAACTTAAACTGGGGGAGGACAGATGGTCCATCACCACCGTCCGCCACTCGGGGACGCGCTCGGTAGGAAAAACGGGAAAACTCCCCCGAGACATTTGTAATAATTTTGGAGTTCTATAAAAGCTTGTGTTGTGTCATTGAAATAGTCTCCCGAAGACCTTTCATATCCAGATCCAGCTCACCAAATATTGACGTCAGGACAAAAATTTTGAGAAATGGTATATTAGAATGAACTAAATTTTGATTTTTGGTGGGAACATCAGCAACTTCCATCGCACATTTTATGAAAAAATTTCTTAATTTGAAAAAAATTTCTTAAAATGAAATACATACAATATAAGTTTATTATATATAAGGCAAGGATTATTTTCATTGTTAAATTTTTCTTACCGCAAGTTGTGGAAGAGTTTGTCTATATAATGCCATCGCTGTTTGAGCATCAATATTTTGTACTCTGTCGGATAAAGAAGCCAGTCGTAAAAAATCATCAGGAAGTGGTCCAAGCATTGCCTATAAAATTAATTAATGTAATTTGTAAAAATTTTGTAAAAACTCAGTTTTTTATAATCATGTCCTTAGATATAAAAGGTTTTATTTTTAAAGGACTTACAATATCAAATGAATAAATGTATTGTATGACGCCAATATTGGTGTCAAATGAAATCTTAGGATCTCTTCATTCCACTTGTTTAAATTTATCCCTTAAATGCATGACGTACATGACTTTAAATAAGCCTAATCTCTACAAACATTAGGAAGATATCTTCTATAGAAGATATAAAAGCAATATCTGCATTTTTTTCATTCGGAAGATAATCATCAAAGCAAAATTTTTTTTATATCGAAAATTTATCATTTAAACAAAGTTTTTTTGTTTTTGTAAGATATTTTTTGCCACCAAATTGTTATATTTTTTTCTCATGGGGTAGATCTAAAAGCAATATTAATTTTTTCCATTCCATTTTCCAATTCATTAATAATAAAACGCATTTTAAAATTGTAAATTCTAAGAAATTTTAATATTTCTCATTAAAAATAATCTAGCGATATCTTATATTTACCACCCAGAAGATTATCAGAAGTTATAATTGTTAGTGGTGCGTTGTATGGATTCATGGATAAGATATTTATTTACACGTTTCAAACCAATTTAAGAATTTTGGCATCGATTTTACATATTTTACTCATATTTTTACATATTTTACTCATAAGATCATAATTTTACATGATTTGACTTCAGTAGCATATTAAAGGCATATTTTCGAGTTTTTGTTGTGCCATATTTTTTTATTTTTGTATATTAAATTTTTTAGAATTTTGTTTTTATAAATTTAAGTTTTTTTCTCAAATTTTAATTTTTCTAGACATTTTTAGGCTTGTTTTACAATTTTGAAATAAAAAAATCGTTTGTATAGTTTGAAAAAGGCAAAAATACATTAGTTTCATGAAAATCAATGGTATAGTTTTTTATTCGATAAAGTATTAAATTCTAAATCGGGACATAAACCGATTACTTTGGATTTCATGATTTGTAATTAATTATTGGATTCTATGACAACATTGATTAATATGTCAGTTTAGAAACTATGAATACTATAGGAAAAAATGTGGCAAACTTTGTAGTTTAAAATTTGTTTTTTGGGGACCAAATGTTTTTCATGATATTTATTGATTGTCTGAATGTGAAACGGAATCCTATTAAACTTGTTCAGATGAATCAATTACACTGTAAGTTTGTCAAAAAGACACAGAAAAACGGCGAGACACCTAAACTTAATGTTGAGTCGTAGAATCTAGTGGCATACTCCGTTTTGAAAAGTTGCGTAAAAATCGGGATATATTGCGTTTTAAAGTATGAACTGTATGAGGTCATTTATTTTTTTAATTTTGAAAAAGTTTTTACGCATAGACATCCCAGTAAAAAATAATTGATGTCATACTTTACAATTGACATCTTAATCACATCTAAAAATGCGATTACATATTTTTCGCATTTATAAACCAAAGATTTCTTTACAAATGAAAACACAGTTAAAAGTAAGAAAAGAGATGTAGAAAAATCACAACAAATAACATATTCGAAGTACATCAAGTTTTGGTGAAAAACCAATGAAATTTACAAAAGCGTGTCATTGAAAGGTTGTGGTTTATTTTTGACATCCAAATATCGGATTTTTACTAATAAGATTAGATGTAGTTCAAAGTTGTCAAAAATGAACAACATCCCTCTAATGACACGCTAATGTAAAATTCACAGGTTTTCCACCAGAATTTGAAGTACTTCGGGTTACTAGTTGTGATGAAAATACTACATCTTTTTCCACTTTTTTTGCTGGGTTGTAGTGACTTACGTCTCTTTCTTCACTTTTAACTAGAGTTTCATTTGTATGGAAATATTTGGTTTATAAAAGCAAAAAATATGTAATCGCATTTTTAGATGTGATTAAGATGTCGTTTGTAAGTGACATTAATTATTTTTTTGCTGGATAGTTCCCAGCAAAAAGTGGGGAAAAGATGTAAAATTTCCATCACAACTAGTAACACGAAGTGCTTCAAATTAAAGTGAATGTTTCGGCGTCAATCCGATATGGTTCAGTGTAAATGCACAAAAAGAATAAAACACAAAGAATTATTAGTTTTATAAAAGGAGAAGATTTGTCTTCCTTTATTTATATATTACCTTAAGCATGTATGCACAACAAGAAGTGCTCTTTAAGGCTTCTATATGACGAGAAGTAAACAACTACTTATTTCTAAGTGTGGAGGCTAACAAAGTTTAAATACAGTTAGCGGTTTACTCGTTGAATTAATAATAGTTTTCCATCAAAGATGTAAACTAAAGTAGTAAATCATTAGGATTTACACTTAGAGGAAAAATACCGCAAATAACCGAATTGTACTTAAACATTGCCGGCCCCCTTGCAACACTTAAGGTGTTGTAACTAAATAAATGACGAGTCATGAAGGACTCTCGTAGACTGTTTTTTTCCAAATTAAAATGAGCCATGATCAGACTCCAGTTTTTTCTACTTGGGTCATTATGGACCCGTTTGAGCCATGATGAGACTCTGGTTGAGCCATGATGAGACTCCGGTTGAATCACTAAGGACTCTTGCTGAATTAAAAATAATTTAGGAAAAGGTTAGTAAAGTAAATTGATATATATGTAGTGATCATTTAGGAATTCAAAACAACAAGTCTGCCATACAAAGCGATCAATAGTAAAATTACTTAAAAATTCTTCTTTCCATCTTTTACGATTCTATTAATACAGCGTTTGGGATAGACGTAAATCTCGAATTATCTATATTTAAATATTACCTCGTAAAAGGTTACAATAAGTGTTTGCACGTAGTGCCCTGTCGTAGACAAAATGAAAAAATAATGATTTACAAACATTTTAATTAGTAGCGGTTCTATTATAGATTGATAAACTAACTAGTTCCTACATCATTTGGGTTCATTACGATTCCATGTTGGAATGTAGCTATTTTTAGTTGGCCTATATCTTTCCTTCGTAGGAGATGAATTAATACTATTTACAGGACCGGTTAATATCCAACCAAATACGGTTTTTTGAGCCAATAATGATCCTAGTACTTTTTTCCTAATTCCGGGTAAAATAAGCTGGGGTTATACATCAGCTCCTAATAATAATTCCACGGGTCTGCTCCCGAAGGGATTCGAATCCGCCAAATGAACATTTGGCAATTTGTCGGCATTAACCGAAACCGAAGGCAGATTTCCCGAAATGTTTGGCAAAACGGATGCCGAAGTGTTTAAAAAAAATGATGAATCAGTACTAGAACCTATCACCAAATTACAAGTCTTCATCGAAATGGCCGAAAATTCCTCATTTACGCCTGAAAACTTCGCTGTTTCGGAAATGGTTGGAAGCTTTAAACTTTTTCTCAACTTTTCAGAAATGATAGTGCATTCTGAAGCAGGGTCAATTAATGCTCTAACTTGATACCTACAGCCATTGTGTATCAAGTCGACTGTTGCTGTACCCAAAAGAACAGAATGATTCCTACGAGTATGGAATACTTGTCGTTCAGTCATGGTGCCTGTCGTAGTAGGTCTTCCAGCTGTTGTACCTGACAAAGTGGGCAGATGGTCATTAGGAGTTGGATTAGTGGGTCGTAGAACCACACTAGAATTGTCATCTAATGAAGTAGGAGGTACATTGCTAGTCAGTGTACCCAAAGGAGTAGAATAATTTTGACTAGTATGAAATACTTGTCGTTCAACTATAGTGCCTGACGTAGTCGGTCTTTCTACCAATGCAGTTGACGTGTTAGTAGGTCGTTGGTCATTAGGAGTGTGATTGTATGGTCGTAAAACCAAAGAAGAGTTGTCGTCTAATGACTCAGGAAGAGCATTTCTAGAGTTTTGCGAAGCTGAAGAATTCCGATGTAGTGAAGTATGGTGCCGCTTATTACAAATAGAACAATGATGTTCACTTAAAAAATCATTAACTTCATGTGAGTTAGCTAGACAATTTATGCAGCAATGAAATTTTTTAACCGTTCTAAATCTCTCAGGAATAGACATTCTATCAAACTGACGGCAAAAACGAAGTAAATGACCCGGTTTTTTACATAAAACACAAGCATTCGTAGGACTTGTATTCAAAACATGTGTCTTTTCCTTGCGTTCAATGCCTTCCTTATCAGTATTGGAACTCCTAAGATCGCGTATGCAATCTAACGTTTGGATTCTTTCGGTCAAAAACATGTCCAAATCTTTCCATAAAGATAAGGCAGTTTTGTCCTTAACACTTTGTTCCCATAGTGTCACTGTCTGAGAGGGCAGTCTTTGTATGCAAATAAAAACGATAATTGGATCCCAATTTTGAGTGGGAATCTCATATATCGACATAGCAGTTAAAAATCCATTGATTCCGCTCTGTAACCTTTTCAAAGAGGAACTAGTCTCTTCTGTTATTGTCTCTAAACCAAACAAACACTTTAACTGATTATTAACTAGCATTCGAGGATTTTCGTATGTATCTTTTAAACTTTTCCACGCTATATCAAACCCAGCATTAGTCAACGGACATTTAGATACAATTTCTCTCGCTTCGTTATCTGTTCTTTTCACTAAATACCATAGTCGTTCGATATTACTCAGCCGACTGTTATTAATATATAAAGCAGTGAAAAGATCCCTAAATGTAGGCCATGAGAGATAATCGCCGTTGAAGATGTCCGTATCACATGGCGGAAGAGGTAGATTATGACTAACATTATCAAAATTTGAATCATTGTTTGGATGATGGGAAACTTTAGGCTTAGTCTTTGCTTCCAATTCATCAATCTTAATTTTTATCGACTTTGAACATCGCGCATAAACATTAAGGGTACTCTGGAATTTACTTTCAGCCACTTGAATATCTTCTGGCTCAGCGTCTTCAGAAGATTCAAGATCGTCTAAACACTTATCGAAAGTAATTTTCACCTTTTCCCAACACATCTTCAATTCACTTTCCAAAACTTCGTAGTAGTACA